AAATTGTGGCGGTGACACGTTGGCTCGCGATTATGACCGCGGCGCTGATTCGGTTCTCATCGAAACGCAATTCCGTGCCATAGGGCGTGGTGTCCTCCTGTTGACAGGAGGTACCATCCGCATTCATGTACCTTTGGCTTTCCGGCATTGGAATGTCGGATCGTTGGCTGGTAAGTACGGGTCGTTGTGTCGTTGGCCATTACAGAGCGCGCACAGTTTGTTGACATGACCCTGCCGGTGGGTAAAGACTTGTAATGGGCGTTGCCTCTCCGAAATCGATCGCTAGGTTGTCCTTCGCGTGCGTTTGGCTGGTCTCGTAGGCCGCTGGGCACCCCGACTCTACCAGATGTGAGTTGTAGTGAGAGGCATGACGTCGTTGACTTCGCTGAGGATGACTGGTTGTAGGCTCGGAGGATGCATTCATATCTTTACGAGATGCATTGCATGGCAAGCGTAGATTTCAGTGGGTTTCAGAACTTTTCTTCGTATCGCTGCGTAGTGGGCCTTCTAAGACGGCCTCGCTAGGAAGTGAATTGCCACTGCTAAATTTCGGCGCGACAGAAGGGTTTTCCTTTGGTATATCGTAGATTTCTTTGCAGAGAGTCGTTAGGGTGGTTTCGTTTACTTAGCTGGGTAAAACTTGGCCATTTTTGTAGACCTGTCCGGTAGTGTAACACGTTGTGGGCATCTTGTATTCGCTAGGCTACTACTGTTGGTGAGGCAGGTTCATCTCGGGGTCCGACGACGGATGTCATCTTCGAGTCGGGTAAAGTAACGCGATGGTAGAAAGAACCTCAGAAAACCTTGAAATTCTCTCAGTCCGTCCAGCGTTGGTTGTTGTTGCGGTATCAAGTTAACGCTCAGTCGCGTAGCATCACCACCATGGTGGCTGGCAATCTGTCCTTGTCGACGCTGTATGCCTCGGCTAACTCTTCGACCCGCACGATAAAGGTAAAGAAGACGGGTGTGGTGTCAGCCGCTGTCGGGAAAACTGGGTGTGTTGCGCCTATCAGGGCGGCGAGCTGGACCAGTTCGCTGACGTTCTTGGCTGGTGCCGAAATATTGGGTTAGTATGCCGGTGTCACTTCGGCCTCGGTGTCGTCACTGGTGGCAGGGTTTCGGCCCTCGTCGGCGGGGTAAAAATTCTTTCTCATTCGTTGCTGGCTCGTCGGGTACATTTCGAGATGCTGGAGCGAGCGATTGTTGCCTGGTGATTGCCTCAAGCTCCGTCTGGAGTTCCAGTAGACGAGTAACGTCCACTGGCTTATGATCCTGGTTTATGAATTGGGCCCAGCGCCTCCTCATCTCTTGTACGATACCTGTAATGTCTAAGTCGAACTCCCCTAAGCAGGCTGGGAGCTCGTCCCGACTTAAGGAGTTAACACAGGTTACGCGTAACGTGGATGTCACGATATCGACCGGGACGGAGGGAAAATAACCAAATTGAATAACTGCTCTGGGCGCTTTGAGTATTTATGTCTTTATTATAATTTGTTTCCT